TAATTTTTTATAAAAAACATATATATATATATATATATATATAGTTGAAGTATTTTTTCTTATTTAAGCTGTTATCTCTTTTTTCCTTGTAATAATTTATTAAAAATTTAAAAATTTAACCAGATCATATCAGATTCAGATATCTAATATCCTTCCCTAAATCCAAGAAAGGAAAGAAGGATTAAAAACAAAGCCTAAATTTCCAAATATAAACACTGTTAATAATAATGATTGGTTACCACTTTCTTCATGAGATCGTACTACTGCACACCAATCAGTGATTTAGTTAATTTATTACCCCATATAATCGAAACGAATATTCAAGCAATATTCTAATTTAAATTGGATTTAAATTCAATCCATGAGGCTATAATACAGAACCGTCAACTACCCAAAATGAAACAGACTGATTTTTCTTTATTCCTTCTCAAGTAAAGTGGAGTCACACAATTTTACTTTCTATTTACTTCTTGAAAAATTAAAAAACCATAGGCATCAAGACTTTTTTTTTATCTATTTCAGATAAAATGGAGATCATATCATTCTGCTTATGGCATTGCAAGGCACCAATTGGTGGTTGGTTATAAGGTCTCCTGCTGGTTGTAGTGGAGACTTGGGATCGAGTCCCGCCTGCAATATAAATTGGGCTGGGGAGGTCTATGGGTTTGGGGTATGGGCTATCCCCGATATGTAACCCCTTTGAACGAAAAGGATGTGGTAGTTGTCTTTATATAAAATAAATGGCAAATACCCCTTTAATGTTCATATATGCCAATTATTTGTGTATATATATATATATTTGGTTCATTTACTTATTTTAAATATTTTGTCACTTTTATAAATGATACTAGCGAGAGGATGAGCACGGACGAGTAATACCGAGTAAGTGGGAGAATAAAAAAAGAAGAATAGAAGTAGTTGTGGGATCTGAATCCGGATCTCTAATGTAATGAACCAACTAATCTTTGAAAAATATATATTACATAACAAAGAGAAGAAATACAAATTTTATATGCATGAGCACAGAAATACAAATAATTCCCAAAAGTTATTAAACATATAATTCCCAAAAGAAATACAAATTTTATATGTATCATAATGGAACCATCTTACAAACAAAGTCATCAAACATGCTATTCATCTTGTGAACTGATGTTGTGCGCTCTGGGAGCTCCTATCTGGAAGGTTGATTAGGCATGCTCACGTGGCAAGTTGGATGAAACTTCAAAACAAGGTTCAGAGAGACCGGAGTGGATGACCCGGTGAAATTGCTCCGATGCTTAAGTCAGTATTCTTATTGTGGTTGCGAGCTAAAGTTTGAGTGTTAGAGAGCTTGAATATAAGTAATCGCGTGTACCTCCTTGTTTCATTGGTGTTAATGCTTTTATATAGGCTTTATTTGACGTGGACTTCATGTCCTGCAACCGAGATTTCTAGGAAATCGTCTAACTAGTCCAAGATACCATGTGTCACTATATGATTGGAGGGCCAAATCCGCCCTCATCATGAACCAACCAACAAGTTTTGTGAAATAATGCATGTGTTCAACATATGAAACTATCCTCAAGGGAGCACTTACGATAATAGAAAATGACGGGCAATGGTTAGTGGAGATTCATTACATAGGTGAATCTCCATTATACATGCCCATGACTGTCGGTGGTTAGTGGAGATTCAAATTCCAAGGCTGTATAACTGGTAATGGTGTAGAAATTGTTGGTGGAAAATCCTACATGAGACGAACCCAAGCAACAGAGATCTAGACAAAATGAATTAGAATTCTATCATCAATCTATGTACAAAAAAATGAATAAAAGCCTCGATGGGATAATAATAAGAAATAAAAATAGAATATGACAGGCAGAACAAATATGAAAATGAAGAACAAAGGAAGAGAGGCCGATATGATCGTCTATGGCATTGACTGTCCGATCATAGGTGAGTCTTGACCGGTCATTTCCATGGCTGCCAATGGTTACTAAAAAGTCCAGTGGCGTTTCAATGAAACTCTGTTCCCTACTTTTCCTGAAATTGGATCAGGGGAGTGTGGATATTGAAGCTTGCCACAAATTATGAGGGATTTAGGAGATGACCTCTTTGATGCTTGTTAGAGAAAAAAATGCTGAATTTTCCAAAAAAATAAGAAAGTAAATGGCAATACCAGTCTGACTCTGTATATTTAGCAAATACATTAGAAATCTTAAGACTGATGGAACACGGTGAGCCAAACAGACCGTGATAATCACACATCATTCTACGAGGGATTGGCAAGAAAATCAAGAGAGGAAGACCAGGTCATGATATGGATGCAGTTAAGCGAATTTGGCTGTTTTGTGAACTTCACCATTACGAGACCTGGGGGGGTATATGTAATTGAGCAGCCGGGGAGGTGAGGTTGAAATTCTTGCATATGAAGTGGTGATGAATGGATAAAGAGGCCCAGATCAAGATATTCTTTCCCCAATCACATGCGTCGATAGTCATCCCGGCCTGGTCTGATTGGTATAACCACCCGGGTTCAATTATAATATATTTTCTGGTTCATCAAATCTGATTTGGGTTCGAACCACCTGATCAAAGAAAAGCTTTTAATTAGACAAATAGATAGATGGAAGTGGTGGGGTTGCCTGTTCAGGAAGAGGAATTAAATCTCATTAGAGAGTTCACATCTTCTATGAAGAGATTCATTCCAATCAAACGGAAATCGGATTTGGATATGCACGTAAGGCTGCGCTTGTTTGCGATACAAACACAAATATGTCCTATGCATAAATACCCTCTATTCGGTTCAAGAATGCAAAGTGGGTTTGCAGTTGTAACTCGATTTTTTACTCTTTTTGTTTGTTTCAAAATGATGTAAAGATGTGTACAAATTTGCTGCTGTTTGGTGGATTGCATGGGTGCAAACATGAAATGCTCCAATACAAATGTGACAAATAGATAGATGGGTGCATTTTGGTCAAATGTATCAAAGTCATCTCTCTCTCTCTCGATGAGACAATCAATAAGCCTGTTTACATCGATTTTCAAAGAGCACAATTTTTTATCCGAAAAATAGATACAGTAATGAACTCTCCTCACAATACAAATGTGACAGAAAATAGATTCCCCCCCCC